TTGTTTTTGTTTTCCTTTTGATTTTTTGCTTCGGCTGGCGGCCAAAAATTTTGATTTATGCTCATCTTTAAAGGTACGTTGCAAGTTCTTTGTAAAATTGTTTACTTAGCCAACATATATATAGCATAAAAAAAATATACTATATATATATACTCTATATGTGTAATATTTTTAATATAAAAAAAATTTTGAATTTTTGTTTTTGATTTGTGCGCTCTTTGGTGTATATAAAAAAACTTAAATAATAAAAATCAAAAATAATCCAAGCCCAAGTTCTGTCTGCGATTTATCGATATGAGAAATTGTAATAAAGTCATTTGATTTAATGGCAGCAACGCTTCGATTTGCATAGAAAATTTGGCAAATGGCGCGGAATATACAATATTTTGCAAGTGGAAAGAGAGAGTAGAGAGAGAGAGAGAGAGGGAGGGAGAGTGAGTGAGGGCTAGTTGCTTTGGCGGGAAACTGTGGAGGAAAACGTCGCGTTGTCAAGTAAATTGCATTTTTCATTTTTCACATCAACTCATACTTGCATTTATATTGCATTTCCTGCACACACACACACACGCACACATACACCCATCTTTTTAAACATGCAAATTGTGACAGCCACCCCCCGGGACGGACAACTTTTTGGGCGAGGATTATGCCGAACAATGCCGAATGCCAGTCCATTATAAATAGCCATAAAAATTCAATAGAAAATCGAGAAAAACATTTGCATGGCCACAGGAAAAGACGGAACGGAGGGTGCCCCAGCGAGGGTTGCTATCAGACTCACACACACACATATATGTACTATACATATTTATGTATATATATTTATAAAAATCTATAGAAAATTGTAGCTTTAATTGCATCGAGTATCGAATGTCCTCTGCGCGTAATCAATGAGATGAAATTTGCATGGACACGTGACAAATAATTAACGAAAAAGGCCGCGAGCCAACGGAGGGTTGCCGGACAGCGGCATACACTCGGAGAAATCAAGTGGTGTTTAGCTGGCAAAACTAAGCAACTCCTGAGAGGATTGCCCAAAGATTTCTGGATAACAATTCGTGTAGTTGCGATAGGAATTGAGGCTTCAATTACCGTCCAGTGTAAGCACTTGGAGAAATTAGTTGCTAAGAATATGATGAACTTAAGATATACTGAAGTAGTGTGCGAGGGGTTGCTTGGACTGCCAGAAAATGTTTAGTGTATGAAATATACTCAGAGACTGTTCAAATTCTAGAAATGTAATATGAGAGTTGCTAAAATGTATTATGAAAGATATAGTATATATATATTTTTTTTTCTCTGAGTGTATGCATATATTTTTAATCAATTGCATCGCAGCATGTAGCCCATATTGATTTTTACTTGCATACAATTTTTTTTACAACCAGCAGCTGCACAATTTGAATTTTCCCTTGAAAATGCGGAAAATGTGGAAAATGCGCCGCTTGACCCATACATAACGGCTGCAGTTGACCGTGCGCTGAGTTTCCCATTTTCCTTACACACACACACTTTCCATTGTAATACTTATCGCATTTTTTCGATTCTTTTTTTTTTTTTTTACTAATCATTTGGAGGGTATGCATAAAGCATATACATATATATTTTTTAGGCAAATAGCCTAATCAGCCTTTGCGTGGGGGTTGTGAGCCGGAAGCGCGCGCCGCACACAAAATTTTATTTTATTTTTTATTTTTATGAGGGTGCCTCCGTTTTGTGGCAGCTGCTGCTGCAGGCGAATTGTGAGTGGTATGAATTTAAAAAATAGAAAGAAAACAAAAATAACTGGCATAAATATGTTTAAAAAAAAAACTTTGTTGACAAATTGCATTTGCTTGAAAATTCAATCAAATATCAATTCAATAATTTGCTATCAAAGGCGTTCAGCCGGCATCAACTAGACCAAAAAAAAAAAAATAAAATAAATAATCACTCTCAGTTCTTTAAAAAAAAATAAAAAAAAAAACAACAAAAAGGTTCACAATTGGGTGTGAACTCTAATTGAGCACAATCAACGACAGTTTTTGAAGTGTGCCTCGATAAGATTTTGTGGTCAATTAAAAACCGCCCATTCACGCAGCAGAACTCGGGCAAGGAAAAAACTAAAAACAGGGTATAAAAATAGAAATCAACAACAAAATTTGTAAATAAAATTAACAAAAATGATTTGAATTAAATTTGTAACAAATACACGTGTTTATTCATATATATTTATGTATATACATTATAAAAATAATTGGAATAAAAATTATGAAAATAATTATGTTTAATTGTAAATGAAAATTAGAAGCTATGTATTTAAATATTGTTTAGTATTTTGCATGGTATATTTTGTATATATGTATGTATGTTTTATGATTAGCTATTTTAGTTTTCTTTGTCATCATTTTCAGTATTGTACAGCGACGAATTTGTTTTTTGCTAAAAGGCACGCAGCATTTTAAAAAACACACGTTTTTAAAAAATAAAATTAAAAATAGCAAAAAACTAACGTCGCTGCATTTTATTGTTTATGGTTTTGGTATTTTATTTATTTTGATTTTTTGTATATTATTTTTTATTTTTTTGCATTGACTTTTCAGCTGCGCAGATTTTTGTAAAGAACAAACGCCTTAAATACTACAAAAATAATAAACAAAAATCTGCGCCAAAAATACTGAAAAGTTCATGCAACTCCGCTGACGTTGCTTATGGATTGTATGTGTACGTATGTGTATGTGTAGGTGTATATATCATCTATAAGCTGGTGCAGACCTATACCTAAATGGCCAGGCCATTTGGCTGGCTGCTGCCAAACTTTGACTAGATTTGCGTTTGTGTCTTTTCTTTTGCTTTAGTTTTTCTTTTTTAGTATTTTGCGACTAGCTTCGTAGTTTGGTCAGTTTTCGTTTTTGGGGAATGCATTAGTGTTTCGTTTTGTTTTTGGTTTGTTTCACTTACAATTAAAACTAAACAATAATAAAAATACTTTTTAACTAAATACTAAATATAAATTGTTTTGTGCCTTTTCTTGTTATTGTTGTTTCGTTCGTTTTTTGTTTTTGAGGTAAATTCACTAAAAATTTCATTTACTTTACTGCTCTATAAATTGCAGTATTTTTTGTTCGTTTTTCATTTCTTTTTGATTTATTTTATAAGCATAAATGTTTATATATTTTATTATATAAATTCATTTATTTAAATTATTGTTTTCAAGTCCGTCTGAGGTAGCATTTTTTGTTTTTTGTTTTTTATTTTTA